ATTTAGTAGATATCATAATTAGCTTGCCTCCCATAATAACAGCTGATCACCAATGCAGCAGTAGTTCTAGAAGGAGGACTAGTATATTTCTAACAATAGAAGATAAGACAACTGTCTTCCTGGTGTGCACCCAACCCTGCCTCAGCCTTCTGATAAAGGTGGCAGGTTTGTGGATAAAGCATGCTTGTGATAAATCCAAATTGTAGTTACCCTTGAATTCTCTCTGTATCATTTCAGGTCAAATCCCCGTGTTCTCTCTTTGTCACTGAAATTGAAAATGGTATTTAAGCCGTCCAAACGAGTGAAGATGAATACTTTTCTGTCAGTATGTATAGGGTCAATTATTTTGACTGGAATTTCACCCAGTTGTATGGTGTGTGTTCCCAAATAATAAGTAGTCTAATAAACTATATAATATTATTCATTCCTGTACAAGAGCAATTAGAGCAATTTGCAACTCAAAAAAAAAAAATGCTATTTTAACTTTGTTGATTTTGGTGCCAAGTGCATCATTCATACGTTTGTTTTTGGCAGTGGGCAGTCTGAGTGTGACCTTATTGTAGTGAGACTTAATGCTCTGAAATTCAGTACATGGCTCTTAGTTACGGATGAAATCACAGGCATGAGTAAGAGAAGGGAGAAAGTGTCATATTTAAAATCCAAGTGTTATCTTTTGTTGATAATATTTTTGTTCCTCTGTGCTATTTGCTGCATACTGGGTGGCAGATAAATTCCTTTAATTATTTCACTGCAAAAACAAGTAAAGGGGGCTTAAAATCTCTTATTGCTATATAAATTATCATTTCTAAGGAAAAGGATGTGTGGTCTTTAATACATCATTATGAGATTGTCACTCTTCCTTTGCTTTAATCGCTTTCAAAACAAAGTCTTCCTACAATAATTTCTCAGTTCTACTAATTAATTACAGATGCTTTCCCATCAAAAGTTGTCCTGAAAATGTAGTTTTTATCATGCCAAGAGTAACTGCAGTTTTCCTTATGTTTGCTAGCCTCAGGATGTAAATCAACAAAAAATTCTGAGTCTGAACTTGAATGTATCAATTAGAATATCAATAGAAAGATGCATTTTATGAGTGATTTTTTTTGGCTTGCCAAGTCAGCATTTAACAACGCTTAAAAAATTGTTTTTTTGATATAATAGGTTTGAGGGTTTTTTTGTTGTTGTTGGTTGGTTGGTATGGGTTTTTTTTTGTTGTTGTTTGTTTGTTTGTTTTGCTTCTGTAGGGTTGAGAAGTAAAAATCTGTAAGAGAATCTTCTGGTGGAAGGGTAAGCAGAGGAAGTTAATTGGCCTCTTTTTTAGTAGAAAAAATACGACAGTCCATATTTAACCTGAATTTCACAAAATTTGCATTGGTTTCCTGTGCTTGTTCATACACCAAGGAAGGATTCTTGCCCTTTAAGGTTTAGATGTTTTCTAATGCATTGTTAAGATAACTTAGCCATTCTAATTGTATTTTACCAGCTATCAGAATAGGTGATACTTAGAAAGCAAATTCTAAGGATACCTATGATAATGTAGAGAGTTTGCAGCAAAACTTACAGCTCTGACCAGGCTAGGCTTAATATGGCTAGTCAGTTTTGATTTACACAGCTGGCTTTTTATTTTCATTATCAATCACTGTTTATGCTTTCTGGTAAGTCTGCTGCCTTTATTTCATCATTCTGCATTTTTTCCATAGCTGCATTTATTATTCAGTGTTGTACTAGAGCAGAGAAACTGTTTTAAATTGAGCCTATGCTTTGTGCATGGTAAAAACAGAAAGAACTAAAAATGATTCCTCTAAGACATAGAGATTATAAGAAATTTATAACTTACTATGTGATTTAGTCAGTGTATTTTATTATACAGTGAACAGAGCTTGAAACTGAATATAATGTGCCTTGAATTTGACTAGTCATCATTTTCCACTGTTTTATGCAAGGGTTTGAATGCATAAGAACAGTAAATTCTTCATTTAGTATCTGGTTATAAATGTAAAGTTACTGTAATGTGAGACTCTGCAGTGACATGAAATTAACTGAGAAAGTTATTTCTGTTGTGGTGACCTAAGTTTCACTACTGAGTTTTATTAAAATCATAGATTATCTTTAAAGGAGAGTATTTAGATCACTGAGTTGACGTGGGCTAAGGTGTGATAGATGGTTATGCTGCATCATGCATTTCTGTGCTTTTAGCAGAAGTGTGAGAGGCTGAGGAGCCAGCTGATTTTCAAAATGCACAATGGGGCCTTTTGATGGGATTGCTCTCAATTAAGGTGCTTCAAAGACAGTCATTTCTCTCACAGTCAAACAGAGGAGCAAGAAAAGCATAAGATGTACAGGAGACTGCTGTACTTCTCTTTTCTATTTCCATGCTACTTAATGTTGACAGTTGACAGACATCATGTGTGAATGTTTATCAAACCAGTATGATAAGCTACAGATCTGGATGCTGAAAGAGCTGATAACTTTGTGTGTCTTTGCAGATAATTTAAAGTGAGTATTTTAAGTCTCCAAATCTTAAGGATGAGTAAGCAGCACACCTGTGGGCATCCACACGTTTATCTATCACCAAATTAAGTACATACACTCAGTCTTAAGTTAATTACTTGAAGTGATTTTCTTACAACAGAAAGGGCTTTTTGATGCAGTCTGGCAAATGTCATGTTCAGTGAGTGAAACTGTGTGAAGCTCAGTATGACTTAATTATGAAGCTAGAAAATCTGAAATGAGTTTCCCATGAGTAAAAACTCTAATTTGAGCAAGACTTGCTGTTTCATATTCCATGTTTAGATAATCCTATTAATAGGCATTTCTGACTGCTAAATATTTTTAAAAGAAATTACTCCATGCCAAATGTCAGGTGAAGGGATTTCAGCCATTTTAAATGAGTTGTAATTGCCTTTGGAACATGAAGGACTGCTTCACATTTCAAGATGGATTTCAGTCTGATTTTTGAGACTTTGATTTCTTAAGAATGACAGGTATGACCTTTTACATGCTCGTGAATATGAAAAAAAGATTAGGAAACACCATTAACAGTTTATAATATCTGTTAATTTTTTATACAGTGCACATGCATGGTTATGTGAGTTACTTCCTCAAATGCTTTGTGTTTAAAGATTTATTACACTGTTATGATGAAGAAGTATCATGCTTGAATTAGTTCTTGTCAGAATGATATATGTGAGCAACTAAAAGAGAACAGAAGAACCTTCTGAAAATCTTAAGATGTTTTCATCAGGAATGTTCAATACATTCTATATCCTACATTTGATGTTCTATTCTATTTCTTTTCTGGCTTCATAACAGCAACCACCTCCCACATTGGTTGTTTGAATAAATGTGTTTCCATATGCACATTCAGTAATTTCCCTTCTTAATAACATCAGGCTTCTTGATGGAAGCAGTGATGTATCACATTATACGACTCAATAATACATTCACATGGATATAGAAAATGTAACAGGAATGTAGCTTAGAATGAGAAAAATGGTTATTATTGATGCCACTGTGCAGACTGATTGTATTCATTCCAATCTTACTTGTTCCTGGGTTTGTGTGAATTTTCTCAATTTTCTCAGTCTTTAAGTAAATATCAAAGTGTATAAGGAAAGGAACAGGTGATGTACAAGGGGGGTTGTGAGACTAGCAAATGTAAAGAAGGTTAAGAAAGTTACTCACTTAACAAATGAAACCATTTACTCTGTCTGAGGAGCAGAGAGCAGGAATTCAGTTGACTTACAGCAGTAGTAGTGACTTACAGATTGAGCTGTGTCAAGTTAAAAGAATCAAATGTTTATTTATTACCAAATTCCAGCTTCTGTCTCTTGACAATACAGATGATAAGGTATGAGCTATGATGGTAGATTAACATGTTTACTTACAAGTGACTTTTCTAAAACATTGACAAATTACAGACAAACAGCATTACGCTGCATTCCTTCAAATCTTTTTGAAGTCAGCCACATAGTTCCCTGTTCCTGATACTGTCTCTCTGTATATCCAGAGGCTTTGTTCCCTTTGTGTTTGAGCAATAAAGGTTTAGCCAAGGATGAGGGGTTCAAAATACATTATCTTTCTAAGTACTTGAATGAATATAACTCAAGATTGACACCAATACAGGTAGGGTTTGTGGAACTACTTAGCTAGTCATTATGTCTGTTCTGCTTATGGCATATTTTAGAAGAATTTCCTAAATTCCTCAAAAATAAGGAAAGCTTATAGTATATTGCCATGTTTACTCTATCCTTTTGTCTTGTTTTAAGATCAGTTCAACTAGATCCATGAAATAGATTGTGTGGCTTTCATGAGTAGTAGTTCTCATTAGTATGTTGCGTTCTGTTTTTTGGCTGTTTCTTTTTCTTCCTATACGATGAGGCAGCAGTCATCATCCTGTGTTAGCAAATGCTTCTGCAGTCTGATCTATTTTGCAGCTCCAGTCACTGAGAGTAAAAAGTATACAACCAAAAAAAGCTGTTTATAATACATATGGAAAGGTGTGGAATTAACTTTGCAAAATAAATGTCTCTATGGGTGGATTCTGGAACTTTCCAGTCTTATTTGTTTTCTATAGTGCTGAGCTACCACTGCAACTATTTTATATGCAAACAATCACTCTGGTAAGCCTTAATTGTGCTGCTTGCTAACACAGGCATTTGTTTGGCATTGTTACTGCATGTTATCGGTTCAGCATTTAATTGTGCTGTAGTGGTAAAATTAAGTTGGCAAATGTGAGACACCATCAAGAAGGGCTTTTTTGGCTCGGCTACCTAAAAATAAAATCACCTCTTTGCATCAGTGGTTGTGCAAATTCTGAGGTATTGGAACAGATTGTTCTACTGATTTGAGAGGAATGTGTGGAATTGTGAAGAAAATAAACAGCATGATAGCAGTGTGTTCTGATTTAATTTTGATGATTAGCTACATTCTTTAATATTCCTTTTAAATAGCTTTTACTGCATACTATAAAGTATATACTGATTATCTTGAGTTTTAATTTAAAATACAAAGCAGTTCTAAAAGGTAAAAACTGGAATAGTGTAGGTTCAAAGCATTAACAGTAGCAGCTATGCAGAAATCCAACATTTTTGCAGTAACAGTCATTATTTGGGTGTTCTTAGAAGCTTTATTGTAGAAATTGGATGGTAGAATAGAAATTCTGTGCATTTATGATCACCAAACTTTACACAGGTTAATCTATCATACATTATTATAATTTATATTACCAGGCTACAGTGTCTTGAGTTTACAACAAACATACAAAAATTTCCAAGTGTCTTTACTTTTCCCTTAGCACACTTACATCCTCAAAGTAGAAGGCTTCAGAAGTCTCGCAGCAGCTATTGATTATCTTGCAAAATTCCTATTATTTGTTCAGATGGGAGGTATATCAGCAAGTTAATTTCTGTATTAGCCTATCTGAACTTGAACTTCAGGTCTGTTAAAAGTGTGTTCCCTCATTGGCCTTAGAAATTGTCATATGAAACATCTCTATTTGTATACATCCATTTAACTCTTGCAGAATTTACTGATGCAGTTGCTGTGTAGCTATGCAAACTGACTGTAAGGAACAGTCAGTTTCTGCAATATCTGACTATTTGATTAGACATGAACTGAAACAATTTAAGTTTGTAGTTGTTGGCTTTGAATTGGGCTTTGTCAGATGTTATTCTATTCTAGCTGTTATTTTGTCTCTTATTATATGGCTTGCATGGTGTAACCTTAAGATTTGTCACACATTTTGCAGCCTCACCTCAAGCACTCTGTAGTTTTGGGCTCCACAATATAAGAAAGACATAAAACCATTAAAGAGACTCTAAAGTAGAACTACAGAGATGGTGAAGTATCTGGTGGACAAAAGCTATGAAGGCAACTGAGGTCTCTTGGTTTGTTTGGCCCAGAGCAGAGCAGGCTGAGGGGAGGCCTCATGAAAGCTCCTTGCAGGGGAGCAGTGCTGAGCTCTGCTCTCTGATGACAGTGACAGGACCCAAGGGAATGGCATGGAGCTGTGTCAGGGGAGAGACAGCACCAAGCTGCCAGAAGTTATGGAGCATTTGGATGCTCTCAGACAGAGGATTTGATTTTTGGGTAGTCCTGCGTGTAGTTAGGAATTGGACTCGGTGATCCTTGTGGGCCCCATCCAACTCAGGATTCTTGTCTCTGTCATTAGCATGCTGTTTCTCATAAGAATTAACACAACAAAAATTTAAATTGTTGGAAAGTTTTTGCAGCCCTACCAAGGATGTGCATCTTGCACCCACAGGTGAAAGAAAAGGGTTACGCAGGGAATAAGCAGCTAGTTACAATTTCCTTACTGTGTATCTTAAACCACGTTACAGTAGTTCCCTTTTCAATCTAAGATAAATCAGTGAGTGGTGCCCCTTGCAGAATGTATATTTTATAAAGATAGCTGCTGTGTGATAAATCTTGAATCTAATAGGGTTTGGAGAGAGAGGCAACAAATCCACACGTGAAGAGAATCTAGGTAGTGTCGTCAGGATAACAGTGGATAATATATATTTACCTTACTTTGTGTGGGCAAAACCAACAGAGCATACCCAGATAAAATCATTTGTCTCAATTCAATGATTATTAGCTTCTTGACTTCTAAAAATGTTCTGAGGTTTTGATCTAAGATAAGGTAACGTCAATCTTTTCCCATCAGGCTGTCAAGTGTTAGTTACTTGTTACTTGTTAGTGCTGGAGCTGCTCTGAAACCAGTTTCATTTTAGGTCTAAATACCTCCGAGTTGGTAGCAAAAATAGCTGAGGTATCAACTTGAACAAAGCTGGTAGCTTGCAAAGCAATCAAACCTTGGTTTAACTTTTTTCTAGAGTCCTGTGGAAGTAGAAGATAAAGACAGTCTGTTCTCCTGTGTGGAGCACACACCATGCCTGGCAAGAGCACTGTCACCTTACGGTGAGCTTGGCTTGCTTTGCTCCAGTCCAGTGGAATGTGCCAGAAAACGTTCTCGGAATAGATCTAATGCATCTAACTCAAACTCAAGTGTCAGTATGTCAAGCACACCAAGAAAACGCTCCGGAGTTTCAAGCCGTTGCTCCTCTGATAGCTTTGCGAGCATCAGTCGTTCTCAGAGGCATCAGGAAAGCAACTCCAAAACATACAGTGGGGATCTTCTGGACAGACACTCAGAATTATTTACCAGCAGCCAGAAACCTTTTACTCCACGCACCTTAATATCAGATGCTAAATCTGCCCTGCTTGGGTATAGGTATTACACTGCTGCTCAAAAGAAAAGGAAAAAGCACTGCAAGCGACATGTGGAAGCTGAAACACAGACTGACGTGATCAGGTACAGAGATTAAAACTTTGTTTTGCAACTGTGGAATTTTGCTACCTGCTACTATACTATTTACTGTTCTGTATGGTGTATATTTGTGCTTTCTGTCTTCTAAAGAATTAACTTTATTCTAAAGAATTAAGTATGCATGTCTTCCTCCCCTGTTGTCCCCACAGTCTCTTACCTTCCAATTCATTAACACATCATGCAAAGAAAATGTGTTTTTTTTCTTGAATGCAACTCTTCATTGCCTTTTAATTGCAAAGATCTTATGGCTGTGGGTGGCATGAGTTCATACTACTGCATTTTTAATACATAGAATCATCTCTTCTCAATTCAGAACAATTACTGTGGATATTTTATTTATCCTCTGTAAATACAGTCAAAAAATGGATTGGGAACACTTCTGTTTGGCTAGCATTAGTGTTCAGACTTGTCTAGCAGAAATTAAAATATAGTTATCTATTTCCATGATAAAGCTTTGTAAACTGTTCAAGCATTTTAGTACTAGGTTCCTTTCAAATTTATGGGAACGAAATGTCTGAATTTCCACAGTGGCTGGCACTGGTATTCATGTTCTGCTTACCTTGAAAGCTGCCTTAGAGATCTAATACATCTCTAAATTTTGTAGCTTTCCAAGTGCAGATAAAGGATCTGAGAGAAAAGTTACGACTGAACATCAGAAGATGACAGTGAAGGTAATACAATCATCATCTATCAGTCATCTAGATAATTTTTCCCCACCCTTCACTACCATTTTAGAGTATATAATTCATCTCTGGCACAGCAGTATACAATTGAATAAAGTTGCATTCTCTTTGTCATTCTAAGATAAGTTAGATGGAGGATAAAATTTTAGAAGAATGAGCAGAAGTGGTAAGAAAAAAAAACTGAGCTTAGAAAATAAGAGTTTTGAAAGTGTTTTTTTCTCCAAACAGTTCTAGAGAGACACTAGCATGCTTAATTATCTGTAAAGGACATAAATAATTGGCATGTTATTTATCAGCATACCTTTCTGCCTCTGTTACAAGGATTTTTGTCTTTATTTTGCATTGGTTAACATATATATAAAGCCTGAGACAGAAGTACTGGGACTAAGGAGTCCCTTTCTCTTAGGAAATATCCAAACCAGTAGACAGAAATGCTTTCCTTGCTGTTGTTTTCTGTCACTTTTGCTTAATGCAAAATTTTTTAGTGAACAGTTATACCACTTCAGGTTCTATCTGCTCCCTAATATTTTATATTGCAGTCACAGATGGCTGTAAATATATAACTTCAGTAGCTGGGTGCTCATTACTGATATAATTAATGTGTATTTTCATTGATAATAAATATTTTACTTTTGTGTTCTAGACTGAAGATAGAAGATACAATATGGATGAGCCTGAGAAAGGAATAGCTGCTTTTCCATACTCCTTTCTAAGGTACCTAATTTACACCAGGAAGAAATAGCTGAAGTATTCTTTTTGGGTTTCAGCACAACTTTTTCTTAGGCTAGGAAGTCATCACTTACAGAACTTGTTAGTTTTTGATGAATGGCCTTTTCCAACTCCACAATTTCGTTTTCTTTTGATGAAACTCCACTGTAAAGGCAATTAAGAAAGAGACATCTGAAATACATGTGATTTTTCATGTTTTGTCTTTTTTTTTTTTTTTTGAAAGGAGTGAGACTAATGAGAACTTAATACAACTTTAGTTGTATTGGCATACCCTTTCAGAAAATGAGTTTCCAGAAATCTAGGCTTTTCATTCTAAGAGATGCTAAAGTTCCAGGCCTAAGGTATTTTCCACATCCTTTTCTGAAACTTGAACGCTGAACATTAGAGCATTGTCTTAAATACAAGAACAGGGTTGAAAATGAAGCCCTGAACCAAGGATGCCTAGTTCATTCTCCTCATTGCTGGAGAACAGAATCATGCTTTACTTGCTGATTTACTCTGTGGCCTTTGCATAGAAATCTAATGGGTTACTTTTCTTACTATTCTTACTTCAATGCAACAGCTGTTATTTAATAAAAACAAATATCTCTTCTAGTACTTCAGGTATTAAGTTAGCTTACTCTATAAACTCCATTATTTCCATTGATGATCTGCAAACTCCATATGGTACATTTAAGATAGGTCTGTCAGAGTTCATTTATAGACGTGTGCCAAAGATTATCAAGTGGGCATTCATCCTTCCTGAAGTCTACTATGTGGCAAATAACACAGGGAGCCTTACCCAATTAAGTACCAAATCATGTTAAGGTAAACACTTTGTCTGGATGATGGATACCTCTTTTTGAGTTATCAGTCAGAAAACTGCATCTACTAAGGTACTGTAATACTCTTCAACTATTGCCTTTCACGTTTCAGGGTAGGTAGTCAATTTTTCTATTGGAGTGGGGTTTCAGAACTTCTGGTGTTTTTTTTTTTTAAATCCCCCAAGGAGTAGGGGAACAAGACAGGCAGATGATTTCAGAAGAGCATGAGATGCAAGGTACTATGCAGGGTTTTGATAATGTTGTTCTTCACTGTTTCTTACCCTCTGATTTTTCTGATTAGAGAGGCATCATTGTATTCTGAGCAGCTTTCAGCAAGGATGAATATTAAGGCTGTGTAAGTATATTTACACGATTTTTCTGCTAGTTCGGAACAGTAAACTAGAAGCCCTCAGAAGTGATCAAACAATATATAGGGACTCAGAATACACTTCACATTCTATAGTAAACCTGATATATGAATTTATATTTAACAGTTAACAACTTCCATATCAATCCAAATCTGAAGAAAATTCTCTATAACTGTGGAGGTAAGATAAATTGCTGTTATCCACAGGCTACACTTTAAACATTTTCAGTTCTTTTTTTGGACTAAAATTTGTCTGGAACAAATTAGAAAGATTAGAATGTGGAGTTGAATTCTCACCAAATTTTTGCTCTTAGATTTGATGAGAATTAAGGAGATTCAAGTTTGTCAGTGATCTCTCATATGACCTCAGGAAAGTGGTCTGATATCTATATGCTTTAGATGGTCTTGTTCTTGCCTAACTTCAAATATGTAATATAGATCATCTTTGATAGATGGAACCACAAATGACAGTCTTCAGACTGCATGACAACTCTTACATAATCATGAAAGTTGTATCAGTCTTGTTATTTTCTGTTTATTACTAAAGTGGAGGATGATTCTATAGAGCTTAAGTGGTTGGATACTTTGGGATATTTAGAAAGATGCTATGAATGCAAAACAGCATTTAAATCTTTTTTTTAAAAGGGGGGGGGGACTGGGGAGGTAGCAACAGAGTTTAGAAGTGAAAAAACACCTGAGTTTTAAAGATTCAGAGAGGTAAAAGTCACATATCACACAAACAAGGACTTGTATTCCAGAGTTGTCATTTGAAAGGAATGGAGGCTGCCAACAAGCACTACTTACTTTTATGTACTCCCGCTAAGGACTTGCAATTATGAGCTGCAGTCAGATTCTCAAGAAGCTCCTTTGGAAGCCTTTCACTAGAACACCAGACTGCAATCTTCTACTTTCTTCCCCCTTTCTTTCTGAGTGCAAAGCAGGTTGTTCATGTTTTACAGTTGCCTCTTCCCTCACTCGTGCTCTTTGCTAATTTACAACACAACAGAAATGTAGCATAAATATGAAACACCATAGTGACTTAATTATTTTTTGAATTGAGTGAAGGGCTAGGCAGTTGTCTCTATTTTTAAACACCTAACATTGAGCTTTCTGTTCTTCCTCCAGAGAAGATGACCATTTATATTTAACTTTCATTGAAGATATAACAAATGACATTCTTGACATTGGGCTGTTTTCTAACAGGTAGATTATGGCTGTTTTAAAATTTGTAATGCTATGTCAGTATACATTTCATTGCCTTTTAAGAATATATGAATACCCAGTTACCCCTTGCTTGTTTTATTTCCTTTTGATTCTTACTTTATATAAGAAAGAAGGACTGAGAAAGAACTGCAGGTCATCTATTTCAGTGTACTCCAATGTAACATGAGATGCAGCCTCTATTAGAAACTGATCTATGTGGAACAATGCTAAGAAAAAATAATCTTACTCTGCAAGATCTGTTTTGCTAAATAAACAGTTATTAATCTTTGATATAGTACTTCTTCCATTGCCTTTCTGTCCTTGTTCCTGTTCCAGTATGAATTCAGCCTTCAGTATGCATTGTAAGGATTACATACTGTTCCAGATAAGGGTTCACTGGTTACTAAGTTATATTTTTTAAAAATAATTAAACAATAAGTAATTATTCATGGATGTGAGCATTACTCCCAGATCCTTTGCTTACCTGTAGAATAAAGGCTCCTAGTAGCCCTCTTGTGACAGAGCTTAATTAAAGCGATCTTAGTGGTACTCTTCAGCTAAGAAATAAAAATCAAGAAGTAGGGTTGTTAGAACATGGTTTTGTTTGTGTTACCTGATCTATTTTTTTTTTATTTGTAGAGTTCTGGAACAATTGTTTGAGTGTCATATACAAGAAAATAAGAACCGTTTGGATGAGGTAGGTACTGCTTCTGTAATATTCTCACTTTCCACATTTCCAAAGTACAGTGGAAATGCACTGATAAGTTTTCTTGTGTACATAACCATAATAACCAACGGGGAACGTCTTTCTTTAAGATGTTTGCAGACTTCTGATCTACCAGGAGTAAGGCATAGTCACAAAAAAAGTGACAACAGTCTGTTCAGTTTGGTGACTCTTGCTATATAATTCAGTCACTCAGTTGCAAGCAACCTCCATTTCTTTAGCCAGAATGAAGCCCTGAGTTCTGGGCAGAGAAGTGCTATGGGCTTTAGCTGCAGAAGTATCACCCTTTATTTCTTCACCCCCTAGAGCAAAATGCGGCACCTGTTGGACGTGCTTAAAGCAGACCTTGGCTGCAGCCCACACAGTGGTGCTGAGCAAATCCACGCAGGCTGGGAAGCCTTTGAGTCACTGGATCTGGGAAAGGTTAATATGATGGAACAGCTTGAGTTTTGCAGTAGAAGTCAGAAGCAAGGAAAAGCTACGAAAAGTGAAGAATTCTTTAAGACCATGGATTTGTTATCGAAGGAACTAAGCACATATGAAGTGCCACTATGCAATGAAAATTCAAAGAAGACAGAGAGCAAGGGTGACTTTTCAGAAGATGTTAATGAAATGATGAATGCTGAGACAGAGTCTCATGCTTGTGTGAAATCTGAAGACCCAGGCACTTCACCCTCATGTGAGGAAACTCTAAACTTGATTACTTGTGACAGTGATTTGGGAGCCAACAAGGAACTTGATGATCTTGAGGAAAACTTTGCAGAGGTCCTTCAGATCACACATGACCACTCATCATAGTGGCCAAAATTTAGCTGTTAAATAGGGAGGAAGCTATTTTTGTAGAGAATTGCCATTCACTAAATAAAGAGAAGTAAATTGTTTATATTCAGGTGGTTTAACAGAATCACTGTATTCTCTTCAGCAGAGTATTTATTACAGATTGGTGACCATTTCTGTACTGATGTAGACTGTAAAGGGTAAAATGACTTAAAAAAATACTTCATATATTTTGTCTGTAAACATATAGCCCAAAACTAACTTTTGAGAATAGTAAAATTAGATGCATATTTTATAGAAAGCTGCAGAATTATGAAATATTTATCGTTTTTATTTATAGCAAATAAAATTAATTGATGACGTTTCTAATATAATGGTGGTCCATGTTATAAAGATGCAAGATTTTTGCAGTTTGCAAGAACAACTCAATTTACCCACGCTAAAATACAGTGTACTACTTACCTGCAGAGCAGAGACAGAACTGTTTGTTCAGCCTGGAAGAAGGCAGCATTATTTCCTCTCTTCATGTTCTGCCATTGTTTGATGTTAAATCCCACTGGAGCATGAAGTTCTTATCTCATTATTTTTTTTCTTTTCACAGTACCTGTAGAACATAGCAAACAAGGTTTCCTTGCTTTAGCTTGAATGAAATAAGGCTTGACTATTGACAGGCAACTTTCCAAAAATAAGCATTTCTTTCTGATATTGCTAGCTGATCATTCCTCCTTTCTCAGCTATGAACTGGATTGTCTTATTCCGTACATCAACAGGTGTAAAAACCGTTTTGCTCTATTAGCTGATCTCATGTCAGAAACAGACATACAGTTGTAGCTGTTGCATACAGCAGCTTTTAAACTATTCCATACACGTGCAGCTTGTTTTATGCACAGCTCTTAAGCTACTTAATCCTACCTGTACATGATTTAGCTGTTAATTCTGGAAGTGAAGACTGCAACAGTTTTCACAGTGCAGAACACCAAAATACACAGTCCAGTTTCTTGCATTGATGGCAACCTTGGTATAGCATTCTGCAGAGAGTTTTGGGTTTAGAAAAAAAAAAAAAAAAAGGCCCAAGAAGAGCTGGACAAACCCAAATGGTAGAGCTTATCAACCTGCATGTGTAGCTACCTCCTCTGTGGCTCAAGAGCTTCTGGTAAACTATTAAACTTGTAAGCTCAGCATCTGATTGTAGTGTGCCAAAAGCTCCAGTAACCACAGCCCATTGCTTCATTGTGAAGCATAAGCTTTTCTGGGGAAAAAACAAAGAACAAAAAACTCCCAAAAGCTCTTTCAAAAAGCCAAATAAAAGCAATGCTTCTGGAACTCACCAATGTTGCAGTACAGTGCATGTTTTCCAAGAAAATGAAAAGGCACTTTCCTGGCTGTCTTGGTCCTAATGATAAATCACACTTGTTGACAGTGACAGCAGAGTGTGTTTTATTTTACCCACATACACGTGGCTGAGCAGATGGGTCTTTCGTCTGCCATGCTCAGCTGGCTATCTTACAAGTCTGGCCTGCAGCCTGAGTCCCCTGGCTCACTGAAAAGTAGGGATGATGTGAGGATTTTGCACTGCTCCATCAGAGCTTGTCTCATTGAGAAGGCACAGCCACAGGACTGACTCAGTGCCAGGATCGTTTCTCCCTCATCACAAGGGACTGAAACCCTTCTCCCATCCCTAGAACAACTCCCTTTATCTTCCTTAGCCCAGAAGTGAAGAGCAGAATGCACCCAGACAATTGGGTTGTGTATTATATGAAAAAAAAAAAATTAACACAGAGTGACAGGCTAGGGCTGTTGCCTACAAATATGGTTTATATATAGAACTAAAGAGTATGGTGAGCCATCTCTAGGTGCAAAGCCTTCTTGCTCCTCTGCCATGCCCACACTGGCTCCTGAAGCCCTCCCTCTGAGTTCTCCAACATTGATCCGTTACGGAATTAAGAAATTTTCTCCCACTACTTTGTTGTATAACCTACCTTATAAAAAGGATCACTCAGCAAACTTCAGCTTGTGGTCATCGTAAGTCTGATTAAGTATTAATAAGAGATTCATATTAAAATTCCACAAGTTAAAGCATAGCAGTGAAAGTGGTCATGACTTCAGCATGCAGAAGGGTGCAAATAATGACACAGTCATTTCCTGCAGTATGAGTAACATGAAAATAAACAAGTACTGTTCCTTGACCATGCTTCCTGTGGATAAGCTGTCTGAACATTGGTGACGTTTTATCTGGGTAGGTGGTAGTTATAGCAGTAAATAAATTAATAAAAACTGACCTTTTACAAAGAAACCATCTGTCTGCCTAAACCACGATTACAGAAATTTCCTGGACATTGAGTGAAATACTCAGTAAGGAACCCCAGAGGAGCACACTGATGTGCTGACAACTAGAATAGTCAGCACAGGCAGGGGAACTGATTTCTTGTACAACCATTACCAACAGGTAGTGGGGAAAGAACACTCGAGATAGATGTTATCAATATGAAATCAATTAGCTTATCTCACCTATAGATCCAAAAGTAAATTCAGGCTATCCTGTGCTTAATACTTTCCTTGTTTCCTTATTCACATTTACATTTGGTGGTTCTTCAAATGTAAGTTGTTTAAGTAATTTGATACACAAACCAGACCCACATCACTGCTAAGATTAATCAGCAGTGCAAGCTTTGTTTTCTTAAGCTTTTATATTTATATATATATATATATATATGTATATATATATATAAAAATATATAAAAGGTGGGTGATAGGGAAGGCATTTTAAAAAAAAATTTTTTTTTTTTTTAATCTTATCACCTTGAGTTTCTATTCACTTGACGATATATTCAGATTTTGGTATAAGCCCTAGGAGAACAAAGTAGTCTCACCACCATTGACTACAGATCTGAGTATTTTGGAAGTAACTGTTAGGAGCAATCAGTTGCTGTGATCTACAATAGAAAGATTTATTTCTGCCCAGGCTCATCTGGGCAATAAACAAATTAATAGCATCAGTGCTTACTTCAAATGATCAAAAGCCCATTATTGTTACTTTGCTCTGTGACAAAAAAATCTCTTATTTCTAAAGCCTACATTTTTGTCATCAGTAGCCTAGTTTTCAGAGGTAGGATTCGCTTTGTTTACAAATCAAAGTAGGGTTTTGGATCATTTGAAATAAAGATTCGTGTGATGAAGGGAGAAGGTGCTTAGGTGTCTAAGTGCTATCTAGAGAAAAAAAAGGAAAACTTGCAAGCAAAACCCAAACTGTCATATTATCCCTAATCAACCTAAACAATATAACAAAAAAAAAGTGAAAAAAACACAACACTGTAACTTGAGGCTTAAAATTTCTCACTCCAAAACAACCGACCCAAATACTCACCAGCAGTCCTGTTTTCTTTATCGAAAGTGAAATCTGCTTCATTCAGATACATTCATCATCAATTTTCATTCCAAGTGGCAAAGCAATTGATGTGCAAACAGGTGAGTGGTAAACTAATCTACTGCACCAGCCATTGCATGTTGCATGGGTCACCACCAGTCAGGGAATCCAGTTTCAAAGCCTGTAAGTGGATCTTGTGCCAGCGGAAGCTGAACTTGTCATGGGGAGAACACAATGCTGGGAAGGGAAAGAAGCAGAAGTAATTCTCGCTTGCATGACAGTTCATCCATTGAGCCACAGAGGACCTATAGCTCATCTCTATCTCAACCCCCCAAATGAAATCCTGCAAGGACTTCACGAGATCAAGCAAAGGCAGCAACAAAAAAAGTTAATTCAGATAAAGGGAACCAAAATTAACAATGTTGTGCCTACTACGCTCAGGGCTTTCTGTTCCCTGTAGAAAACATCCAAAGTAACTCTCAACAGCATAACTCTACAGGCCTCATAGAAGGCTTGGTCTCTTTAATGAACTCACTATGCACATTTCAGCAGGCAGCAAAGGGCAGGCAAAAGGTGTGCAGGACACCAAGGTGACAACACGCAAGTTAAAGTTGCACTCACACAGTAAGCTGTTGGACTGGTTTGCAAAAGCTGTAGGGATGCTAGAGACACAGTATATACTGTCTCACTGAGAGTAAGCACAGACTTCTGTGCAGTAGTTCTTGTTGCATGCTCAGCACAGCAAAACTCCTGTGCAGTCCTTCCAGTCCTATCATGTTCGTGGAATGAAATTAGACCTTGAGAAGGGCAAGTAAAGGCTAAATAAAAGGAGTGAGGGGGAGACCATCTGAAACTTGAGAGACTCACACAGCCTTGGTCTGGCAGGCCATAGAGCTACACCACCCCAGTTCTTTGAGGACGGGCAGCATGATCTGAAGCACGAGGTGCAGAGATCTCAGCAGTTATCCCAGGAATTCAGCGAGCCCACAGGACTCCCCTTACAGTATCTGCACAAGGCTGCAGCATGCCTTACATCTCACAGCAGCCCGCAGCCAATTCCAGGAGATGAAGAGCAGAACGATGAAGTGACCCCAACCCAGTTATCTCTTTCTCTCGCTCACAAGCATACTCACATGCCAAAGAAGAAACTAAGGAATGTGTCAAAGGCCATCAGCTCTCCTGTCAGCCTGGGAATTCCTCAAAGGACCTCTGAGCAGGGGCCTCCCCAGCCATAAATTCAAGCTGGAAGCATTTGGCACCCTTTTTCCCAGTGTTTGACACTGGGAAAGAGCAGAGATGATGCAGATAGCACAGGTTTGGGAGCTGGCTCTGAGGCTTCCCAAATGCTGGGTGCAGTCATATCAGATAACAATGGGTTGTGCAAGAGAAATAGCTGAACTCTTCAGGCTCTCCTCTCAGTTTTCCTTTCCCCAGAAACAAATTCTCGTGGTGGGCCCTTCCCTCCAGCCTTGAGAGTCTTCAGCCTTGCACAAAAGAGCTTTCAACCTACTTATGTCAAGGGTCCCCACAGTGACTTTCTATGGCACGCATGTTCTTCATGGCTCTTCCTCAATATATGAGCTTCTTAAAGCCTCTGCTTGGTTCAATTCATAGCACAGTGAGATCTCCCCAAAGGGTTTTCGACATATTCTCTTTATGACCAGCTCCAAAACTTTTACCCAAAGTGACAACTGAGAGGTGAGAGACCACCCTGCCACTGTGAAGCACCCATGATGCAGTCTCTGGCACATTCCAGTCACAAAACTATGGGGCAAATCAGAAACAAGATAGGCTGTCTCACAAAGTTACCTTCATAGGTATAGAGATAATTCAGCTAGTAATACTGGAGCAGTATTTCCAGTTTCTTTCAACAGTGAATGTAAATTAGCCTCAGTTGTGCTTATTTGTCATTATTTAAAGACCAGCATTGTGCAGAGAGAGAAGGTTGTCATTTTATCCTGCAAACGCAACAGTTCCTTCTGACCTTTAAGCCTTAAGAGAAATTTGGGGAAAAAAAGACAAATATTTCATCAACCATAGAAGTTTGTTTCTATTTTTGCCGAACAATCGTGTTTTCCTCCTCTTTTCTAATTACATTTTGATCCTGACTACTGACACAATGCTGTGTTTCCCCTCTCTTTACGAAGGAGGAAACAGATGTTGTTATTTGAACAGCGTTGGCACTTTTTCCAAGCAGAAGTTATCTGCAGAGAAAATCCAATCAAAAGTACTGATTATTGTTGCTGGCCTACCTCAGCAAGGGAGCTTTCAGGAGTACTAGCACCAGGAAATAAAAACAACATAGTATTTATAATGAGTCAGTGAAAGGATGGGTCTTCTTTGAGCTGGAAAATTGAGGCAGAACAGCTCCCTAAGAACTACAGTTTCCAATTAAATTGCTTCCCCAAGTTTATGAAGAAAAGTGCATGTTTGGTTGACTGATGAAAATTAAGTGATGGAGACCTACAGCTATCTACTAAAACAGTATCTTAAGCATTATCAAACTAAAAACAGTCTTCAACCTTTTAAACCTCCAAAGTGTTTTTGCTTAAGGTTCTGATAATGGAAAGACATTGTTGGCCACAATCATGAATAGCATGGTATGCAGAGAGAAGACAGCAGACATACATATGCACACATCAAAGTATGCGGTTCCTTCAAATCACTGATTATCAGTATTAACCAGGCTTGACAGGGGCCTTCTTCCTAGGTACTTAACACCAGTGAAAATTCTTCATCTGCCTCTGGGTATGATAATTCTGTGTCTGTTCGTGGAAGGATTTGATGTCCTTCTAAATTTACCTAAGGCATATGACTATCATTTTAGAAATAGCTAATAATAATAATCTGAACTAAGAACGTTAGATTAAGAAATCTCATGTGCAAGCCCTCAATGTCTTTCCTGCTTTTTTATTACAGCAGATACCTTAAATCCATAAAATGTGCAGGGCAGTTACACTGGTTTGGTTAGTTGAGTATGACCAATGTTTGGCTTAAATTTAGGTATTTTCTGAAGGACTGTCCTGCTTATCTCTAAAAGATGTGGGGATTAATTAGAAATTGGAAAGATTTTTACTAAGCTCTCTCCCTTCTAGCTTCCCCATCTGCCTTGTGCCCTTTTTTTTTTTTTTTCAGAGAGTGCAAGAACAGGCACAAGCCTTGAAGTCCTTTCTTCAAAAAAGCTCCCAAAGGATGCCAAGAATTCAAAGGTTATTTTGTGATAAAATAGTCCCAAGCTCTACCATTTCCTACTTACTCTTGCTTTTTCTTTGAATTAACGAGGCTAGGTTCAAAGCAATTGTAGTAATGATAGAACTAGCCTTTAACTACCAGAACAATCATTTCCCTAAGCACCAGAACCACAACACTGCCATCACTCAAATGCAGAAGGTTCACCCTGTCCAAGAGCCAGACTGAGCCAATGACATCCAGAGCAACACAAGGTAACCTGCTTAGTGCCAAACTGATGAGCATCATCATGGATATCATCATAACTCATCATAATATAATTATAACTCATAACTAATCATCATATCATCATAACTGGATGATCATCATTCATCCAGTGCTCACTCACCTCCAACTCTGCAACACTGTTCTCCTTTTGGTACCTGCATACATGCAGTCACCATCATACTCACAAATGGTGTCCATTCATCAGTTGTCCTCTGGGTGCTGTAGGTAGCCTGGCAATTTCTTTCTGCAGTGCTATGAGCTGCTGTCCTCATGCAGAAGCCAGACTTCCAGACAACAATCAGAACAACAGCGGAAGAGAGAAAATACATTTATATGCCATCACTGACGTCTTAAAGAAAAGCAGTGGATATAACAGCAACCAAAACAAACAAACAAACAACAGCAAAAAAATACCAGAACGTCATTATATCCTGAACAGAGAAACTGTCAGACATCAAACTCCCTGCTAGGTATTGAGCATTGCTGAGTTTCACGTAATCTTTATCTGTCTACAGCCTTCTGGACTTAAACAACAGGCTGCTCTTTTGATTCTGGCCCCATGCCAAAAAGAGTGCTTTGCACACACAGAACATTCCTCAGGATTTAGGAAATGATCAGACAGTTACATACATACGTATGTTATTTTACCTTATGTGCGTTGATGCCACCAAGTAGAGCATACCTGTAAGACAAATCTTAATTAAAAGCCCAGTATTTCCTGATAATTGACTCTGTGCATATGGCGTTCTGCAGGGACAGTGGATGTGAAATTGCCTGGTCTGCAATTACGGTGTCCAGTGTGAAGTACATCCTTTTATGTTTGTGTGTATCACTTCCATTTTTGACTAAATATCAATTACAAAACAAAAACTTCAGTATCAAGTATTGGTAGCAGCTTCAATAATGCTAAGTAAATAATATTACTCATTAAGTCATATAATCAATGTTCTTTTCTCATGGGCTTTTAGAAAGGGCTTTTCAACTTCTGTAAGCTCTGCTTAAAGGGAAATTGAATATTCAATATTAAGAATGGCTTTATAAGATGCAAAAAAGAAAAAAAAATTAAAAAATGAAGTTAGGTTGGCAGACGTGTGACTTTTCTACCTCAAAGATGAGAACAATTAGTACCTGACAGTGGAAGCTTTATCTTCATATTGTAAACCAGGGCATTACTCACAGAGCTTTAAAAGAGGGATAACATCTTTTTGCACAGAAGGCCAAGTTCCAAACTGGAACACACAGCGCTGATTTTTCTTTTAATAATGGAACAATAAAACTGCATCGTTGCTTCAAATATTTATTTTTCATGGCAAAAATAGACTATAATATATTCATTTCACATATATTACATTCAGTAATACAAGCTTTTCTGTCTATGAAACACAATTTTTACATTGTTTTACAAACCAATTTCAGTTTTACAAGAATTAAAGCTGTTTTGATTATAGATTTTTACAGTATTGATGGCAAGACAGCAAAAATAGACGTGTTAACCACTAGCTTTGTACTAGAAAATAATACTCAAAAATTCATGTTGCTACTGTAAATAAAGTCCCATTTAAATCCTTCCATACTGGCTCAAACGAAAACAGAAGAAAACTGAGCCAGATCCTGCATTCGTCTGACATTAAGCCCTACAAAACTGCTGAAAGGACTTCAAACACCTACTTGCTTCAACTGGGTGAAGAGATTTCAGCAGTGTGCAGGAGGGTACCTACCTACTGATTTGCAAGCTGGAGTCTAAAATTTCCATCCGAGTCTTCCCAGATCAGTCATAAAGAAGACAAACAGTTTGGGTGTTTCAAAGGAACTTGAGAAGGTATCTTTGTAAAGGGACAGCATATACACCTTGTCTGCCAGAATCATCCAGGATAAGCAAGGTGACAGACTGCAGGACCTATTTTCCTATTGTGTTTCCTATCATTCTAAAACTTAACTGTGTTTGTCATTAAATACTTCCACATCTCCTAATTTTACTTAAACATTTCCAAATGGAAAAACTGCATTTAAATTCCCTTTAAAAATGTTTCAAAAGGCGCCTTCTGAAATTGTGCTCACAAAAGCAGTAATTTGGTAGTTTTGACTGCTGCCTAGAAACAAAGTAAAACCACATTATCTACAGGCTTGCTCTCTAACTTTCCACACACTGCATCTGTTGTAAACTCTATTTGTTAGATTTTTGCATTTGATTTCTGTCTTAACTCCCCAATTAGAGCTGAAAAATGGGCTTCTAAGTAACAAATATACAGGAGGTTATTCTTTACCACTAAACGCAGCATCACGTGGAAAACTGCAAATAGAATCCAGGGTCATTTAGCAGCCATTTTTTGAAATGCACATAGAAATGAAGAACGTTCTTTTCAGTCCTTGTAGACCTTAAAGGAACATACATGATGCCAGCAAAACGCATCAAGTTAGCTGGTCCCCAACAGGATCTTTGTAAGAAATCTTTTTTACAGCCATATTTGCAACAGCTGTTGCTGTAGAAGTTTAAGATATTTTCCTATAGCCTAGCACATTTGAGATTCTCTGAAGTTTTATTAGCACTGTACTTCAAATGGTACAATGTAATGTATTTGTAAGCATATGCCAAATTCCACAATTCAAAGGCCCAGTTTTCAGCATAGCCTTAGCTCGATCCAGTTCATACCTACAGTAAGCAGCTGGCTGCATTCACAAATCATTTAAACTCTGAAATAATCTAATCTGCATCCATTACAAATTATCAGCACAAATTTGCACATACGCCCCTTTGCCTTCAGCTTGCACGCCTAAAACCTGAGACTGCGGCCTTAAAATCTGACCTTTAGTAAGCAAACAGAAGCTGAGGTGACAGATTGCACTGAATCTGTTTGGAAAAGAATATATTTAAAAATAACAGAGCTTCTGAAATAATATTTGGAGCTTCAAAAATCACATTTTAAAAAGTCAGCAGAAATAACACCTATGACTACATGCTCACTTACCCTACTGTGTAATAAAAAAAAACATACCATATGAATCAAACCCTTCTAGCAGCTCCACTGTGGATACAAAATGTTCCAGTTCCTCCTCCAAATGCCTTCAAGCCATTCCTCAAATCCACACTCTCCAGTTCTAACATTTTGTACTTTTACAAGAGAATTTCTTCCAAGTCATCTCAGCTACTTTTCCTTGTAATGTTCTAGCTTCATGTAGGCACATTCCTGATGCATTCTTTTGATTAATTCATGCAATCTATATTTAAATTCAAAGTAGATGTGAATATTCACATTTTAAGGGCTTTCACTGGCAATAAGCATTACTTAATCCACTCACGAGAACTGCAGAACTTTTACCTCTTAAGGGATTGGGCTCTGGCTTTGCATGTGTTTTTTGTACTGGAAAGGAAAATAGAACAATAAATACCTAAAGCAAAGAATTATTATCAGTTGATCTGTTGCTCCTTTTAAATTAATAACTTGAGCTAACCATTGTAGCATAGTAACAAGTTCACTATTTTAACTGCAGTGTTTTAGTAACAGTACTGGTATTAAAACCGAGGTCTCATTACAGTGCTAGCTTATGAGACAAACCACCACGCAGTTCCCAAGTTTGGTCCAGAGGCTGCTGAGAACTATGAGCCACTCAACTTTAACAAAGATTCCAACAAGATAAGTGTACCAGCAGCCTCTGGTAGCCTTAGTTACTAAAATTAAGAAAGTATTTTGGAGAAAAGTGCTTTAAGTGTCACACACTTTAAAGAGGAACAAAAAAATGCATACTTTCTCAAAACGTAAAGAATTTTTCCATTCCAGTATGCATTTATTTTAGAATCACAGAATACCTTGGGTTGGAAGGGACCTTAAAGACCACTCAACATCTCTGAAGGTTGCAACCTTCTATTTTTTATTACATTCCTATGCAGTTGTAGTTTTCACCATTCATGTGTGCAAATGGTATCACAGTGAGAGCAATATCAAGGCCTTTAATTTTGCTATTCATGGAGACTGCATTCCAACATGCAGCAGAAAAAGGGGATCACTGTTTTGCGGGCTGCAGAGAAGCAGTGCAAAACTGTCATGTAGCATGGAGCTCCTCCATCAAAGAAT